AAACCAGATTTTAATCAAAATTTTTGTCGTTAACAAATATTTGTATACTGAAACTTTTTTTAGAAAAGTTTTTTTCTAAGAGAATTCATGTTGAATCGTATTCTTTTTGTTGAACACAAGATCAAGTCATTGATTTTATCTAAATAACAGATTAGAACTGTCGATTTTACAGCCGATATAGAGCCTATGTACATCAAAACTTCTGTCGATAATCTACCAAAACAATCATTTGTCGGATAAAATAATTCTTGGGAATAAATTTTCCTATGCCAAAGTTAGTCGATTTGTACTCTGAAAACCTGTTTTTTTTTGTTTATTTTATACCATTTTTAGAGAATAGAACACTTCTACAACATATGGAAAAATCAGCTTAAAGAATTCTACTGTGGCTATACAACAGTTCACACACTGTCGAAATTGTTAATGTATTCAATAAAAAAAAAACATTAGTTCGGGATAATGTTGAACAAAATAAAATTGAGTCAATACATGAAATATGACATCTTAAAAGTTTAATTTCTTCGGTTGTCAACAATCGATCTGTCAATATATATGTTGCATTAACATCGATTGGTTTTCTCATACAATGTGATGAGTACTTAACTAATTTGTTACCCGTTGCACCACATGCGCTACAAAGCTGGATTTGATGGTTTAAGATATGGTTGATTTCTACGAGTATATGATATTGAAAAAAGTAAACTTTGAATAGTGTCATGATTTCTAAAGGGACTGATGGGAACTATCTCAATAGACCATCTACCTTTATATGAAATCAGTTAGAATTTCGAAACTGATTTATGTAATACGAAAAGCACATTATTCAGAAATTTGAGAAGACAAATTTAGACTTTTTTGTTATTTCAACTGTCCAAAAAAATTGAAAAACATTATCAATAAAACAAATCACTCAAACAACAGATTTATTGTTCATTTAAAAATAGAATGTTCTCCACTATTTTTTCAATAATTCGAGAACACAAGTAGCTAGAGATTCGCGATTTTCACCAATCGAAAGAGGAGACCGACACATGTCTTTTCCTCTGATAATATATAAGAGGAAGTCCTTTTAAAACTAATTATTTTCGAAAAGTATATAAAAGAAGACATGAAAATGACCTGCCATCTCGATAAAATTTTGATTTTGATCTTTGATTTAGATAGAGGGACTTCAAATCTATAGCTCAAGATATAATGCACTTTCTTACTTTTCATTACATTTCCATCGAAATATCAAGGTACTATGTTAAAAAGTGACAAAAATTAGTAAAAAATTAGCAAAGATCCCTGTTATTTGCTTATGTAAATACATGATTCAGTTTGCTTAACGTTAGAATGTAATAAGAGAATCAATTTGCATTGTATCGTGAACGATAGACTTGAAGTCTCTCTATCTAAATCAAAGGTCAAAATCAAAATTTTATCGAGCTGGCGGGCCCTTTTCATGTCTTCTTTTATATATTTTTCAAAAATAATTAGTTTTAAAAGGATTTTCTCTTACACATTATCGGCGAAAAAGACGTGTCCCGGTCTCCTCTTTCGATTGGTGAAAACTACAGGTCTCTAGCTACTTGCATTCTCGAATTGTTCAAAAACCAGTGAAGCACATTCTATTTTGAAGTGAACAATACGCATTTCGACTCAAATTTATTAAATTTATGCATTGCATTATAGGCTGTTATTGTTTTTTCTCACAATTGATTCATTCAATTATATTGCATAAATAAAAATCAATCAGAAGATGTAAACTGAATTCGATCTATATCGAACATTCGACAATTTTTTGTAAATTGAGTTGATCTGATCTGTTATTCACAAGCACTGAATGACTGTTCCTGTGTCATCATGATAGAAGAAAATCATAATTATTAATACCTTGTGTCTCATATTACCAAATTATTATGAAAGACCTGATTCATGTTCTTACTACAAGATTAAATATAAAATATTGTTTCATACTTTTAAGATTAAAATGATTCATTCGCTATCGTTACTAACTTCATTGCATAGTTCTTGCACAATTTCGTTTCTTTTTCTTTTTCTTTTCTTTCATAATCATGAAGAAACGCAAGAGCATTGTTTTGTTCTATAAAAACTTGCTGTTTCCTATTGATTTTATCGTAGATCAACATGAAAGACAAAGTGAATACAACAAGTGAACAAAACGGTTATTCTTCTTTATGTGCAGATGTTAGTTCCAATACACCAATTGAAACTCTTGTTTCTCTTGGTCCGAAAAATCGTTATGGTGAAATACCAACAATTCGACTTTTTCTTAATAAATATCATACATATCCATGTACTTTGGATTGTGAAACGGACGATGATGACATCCGTTTTCATGTTACAACTATTCTTAATTATATCCGTGACGAATTAAAACATGATATCAATAAAGATTGTATCACACGAAAATATCATCGACGTACAAAACAAAAATATGTTGATTCACGTGTATCTGATTTAGGTAATGGTATTATGATTAATTTTATTGACTCATCTTTAGATTCTGATGTTCACAACAAAAATGAATTAAAAGCTGATTATGGTGATAATTATTTTTTAATTTCATCAGAAATCAAAATTTTTTATTTACCTGAACATGATTCATTTGTACAAGATTTATCAACTCATTTTTCTCAAATGATTGTATATTCATCTAAATCATGTATTTTACAAATGGTTTGTCGAAGTCAATGCGGTTATTATCTTGATGGAGTTCGAATTAAAAAACCTTTGATTACTGATCTTGCTCTTCATTATGGTAAAGGCTTTCTATCAACACATGAAAAAATTCTTAAAAATTTAAATAAAAAAGAATCAAAAGGCATTGTTCTTTTACATGGTGTTCCAGGTTCAGGTAATTATAAACTCAATTTTACTATCAAACTAGTTATTATTGATACTATTAAATAGGAAAAACACATTATATTCGATATTTAATTCAAGAAATTCAAGATAAAACATTGATTTATATTTCACCTGAAATGGCAAAAGAAATATCATCACCGGAATTTCTTCCTTTTCTTATGCGACATGAAGATGCAATTCTTATTATTGAAGATGCAGAAAATATTATTCAAGATCGAAATGAATCTTCAACACCATCACAAGCTGTTGCTAATCTTCTCAATTTGTAAGTTAACTCATTATTATTTTCTACATTTTCTAACTTAAATCTTCGCTTTATAGATCTGATGGTTTATTAGGTGATGCAATGCATCAACAAATTATAGCCACATTTAATTGTGATTTAACAACAGTTGATCCAGCTCTATTACGTAAAGGACGATTGATTGCTAATTATGAATTTAACAAATTAGATCTAGAAAGTGTTAAGATTTTATCGGATAAATTAGGGTTTGGTACTGATGGTATAACTGAACCAATGACTCTTGCTGAAATCTTTAATCAAGGCGATAAAGATAATCAATCAATAGTCTAGACAAATCGAATATATAGATACGAAGTGACGGTGGATCATCGAGAAAGAAGGGCTGAGCCCCTCTTTGGCTACAAATTCTGACGCTGCATCTCTAGAAATGTCAGATTGACACGTATATTTATGATGTCCTTTGATAACACGCTGTGTTGTGATTCGTATTATCCTTTTTTTTTATACTTTTTCTGACTTTCTGTCTTTGTGTTTCTTTCCTTCGTATGATTGATGATTTTTGTGTTGATTTCTTTCATACTAAATATATATACATACAGCGTAAAAAGAAAGACTGTTGTTTAAGACTAGATTCATAATAATATGAAATTTCTATGCTTCTCTCTCTAATACTATACATCATTGAAAGAGAATTTATTTTATTTATTTAGGTACATTCAAATGAACAGAGACATTTACTAAAATCATGATCAAAAATAGATCGTTTGGTTCCATTTTGTGAGATTCATAATATACTACTATTTTGTCATTATTTCATTCGCTAAAGGACTTGTCAATTGCTCAACAGAATCTTCATTATTTGTTGCAATGTACTAGATGAACTATGATTTCACACAAGAGAAAAGTTCATTGAATGAAGAATAATTTGCGTGTCGACTATGAATACTTGAGTTTCTTAGAACCAATTATTCAGTTGCAGACAATAAAGAACACATAAAAAGGTTCGTAATACCGTATGTAAATTAGGTGCTTATGATGTTGCTACGAAATTGTAGTCAACTGTTGGGTCCTACTCTAAATTACAGTAATAGATTAATAATTGACAATTACAGAACGTCAATATGAATGTATAAAATCAGAATGAAAGTTTACAAAAAAGATAGAAAGTATGAGATTAAATAAACACTTTAAGAAAATTGATTTCAGTACTTTGCCATATACATATAGTCTTAGCTTTTCTTGGAATAAATAGACAATCATGGAAGCATCATGAAGTTCGGTCGAGTTCACATTCAAATGTTTCTGAACATCATCAAATTTTTTAGAGTGTCTATAGTTCATCAGTTGTTGAACCGTGTCGTTCATTGTTTGTAGATTTATTTTAGCTAATCCTAAAATCCTTTCTTTTCATTAATTATCTGAGAATAGCTGTAGTCTAGACTCGTTTACAGACGATCAGGTCTTTTGCTTGCTCGTTAATTCTTTATTAAATATCTACTATTCATAGAAAAACTGAATAACAATAACATTCTATAGTCACTGGATAAATGAGTAGATAATATCGATGCTTCTTATTTGAAATATCGTTGATAAAATAATCCAGATACTTTAGTATTTCACTTTTACACCTTTGTATTCAATCATTTTTCGAATCGCATCCGAAAAAAATGTAACTCGATGTGATTATTGCTTTCAGTTTTTTCATGAAGAAAAAAAAACACCAACGAAAAGTGTATAATTTTTCATCTTACAAATATTTGTATTTTTTTAGATAGACAATTATTTGTGAAAAATCAAATATGTTAAATAACTTTTTGTACATCATAATATCATCTGTTATACATAAAAGAAAATATTCACAAATTTTTCATTGCTTGTATTCGATTTAACTAATAACAGTGTCTACAGTATCAGTATTGTTCGTAGTATTATTCATCGATGCCATGATTATTTCATTTTCACTCGAATTAAGAACCGTAATTTTTTGTTTAGGTTTGACAATTGTAAAATAATATACAGCAACACCAATGAAAAAAAGAATGAATGACAAACCAATACCAAGTACAAGGCCAAGAATCAAGGGTAAATCAGATTCTTCTGCTGAATGAAGATAGAATTATTATTAAATCGCATAAATAAACATATAAACATAGAATACATACTAGGTGTAATTGAAGATGTAGTTGTTGAGGTCGTCTAAAAAGTACAAATAAAATTTGATAATTTTCGATGAAAAATTATTTTTGTTCGATTAAATTTTTACGACAAATTTTCAACTCGTTTTTTTTTTACTTGTATATCGAATCAATAAATTTATTGTGTTACAAACAGCATCAAGTACATACTGACGTCGTTGTAGATTCATTGATTGACACTAATGTTGTTAATATGGTGCTATTAGTTGTGATAACATCTGGCATCGTATTCTTTTCTGTACTAGGTCTAATTAACTAATAAGAAAATAAATTGAATATATGTTAATTATATTATAAAAGAACATACTCGATTGTCGCTATGATTGTCTCATTAATGAAGATCGGATGACTGATACAACAATTTTCAAAATTTTATTTTATAGAAAAAAGCAATATACGTTTTACCTAGTTGATGACATTACAGTCGTATTTACAAGCAATGCAGTAGATATTGAGCTCGTTGCTGTTTCACCACTGATGTACAAATGACTAAGTGTTGTTGTGGATTCCATAGCAGTAAACAACAACTGTGTGGTAGTCTAGAATTGGTTTTGACTACTATAAATGTCGAAATTCATAACTGGTAAAGAAACTTACTGTGGTAATTGCAGAAGATGCTATCAATTGAGTTGTATCAGTGTTATTCGATCTAAGCATAAAATATAGAATCATAATAATAACTGAGCACGATGCAGAATAAGTTTTTTTTTTTCGTACTACATACACTTACTGATGAAGAAGAGTCATCCGAGGTGATAGCTCACGTTTGAATTGAGACTACTCTTGTCGATTGAAATTTTTAATAGTCTCTAATAACTTCAAAAGCTGTGTATAGGCAAAGTTTTGGGCCAAAATTTTTTTCCTATGTTTTTATAGATATTATATGTAAGATGAAAAATTCTAGTGTTACGGCCATAACGCCATCTCAAATACAATGTATCATTTTGGATGGTTCTCTCGTAAGAAAATTTCGCTAACTCTTACCCTGCTAGGTTAGGGTAACTCTGCATGCCTATCTCCCATTATAGAACTACCAACAGAGATATTGGTTATTATCAATGTTCTGTAATTAGACGTTAATCCATTGTTATTCTGGATTAAATTTTCACTTATTTTCTTTTTCTTACTTCGAACTTGTGACCTCAAATCCATCAGTGGCCAAAGTTAAATTATAATCTGTTATGTGCATTGCTTGACTGGTAAAATCCTAGAAATTAGAATAAGAAAAGATGTGTTGCACTGAAATTCAAATATATTCATACAATGTTTGGAACGATTGTTGTAAGAGATTCTATAAAGGAAAAAAATGTAGTAAAAGAAAGTAGTACTTAAATAGTCCGTACCACATGAACCATCAAATATTTTAATTTCGTCTAAAGCAAACGAGAATCCGGCAGCTCCACCGTCACGAATCATTTGAAACCATATCTAACATTACAATCAAATAATCAAAGTTTTAAATAGAAATCAGAATAGTCAATATGCTAACATTATAAGCAGTTTGTCGTGGATTTTCATATGTAAACTGATGATGTTGCCATTTATTTTCAAGTTTTGCTTTTACGTCAGTTAAAAAGAAGGGTGCTGCACCTGCCGACCATCCAACACTAATTTGTGCACTAAATGATGTATCAGGTACATAATAATAAAAATCGAGACATTGAAAATTATCAATATGATTCTGAATAGTATCAATAGTTGTATACATATGATCAAACGAACCAGCTCTGGGTGTTTGAACCAAAGCATACTTTCCTAATACAATATATTTACTAGAAAAAATATTGGAACTCAACAAGTTATTAACAATAAATTACCAATTATACAATTTCCCGTGCCAGATCGAGTTGGACATGTATAATTAGTTTCTGAGTTGCGTTGACAAAAGTACATTGGCCATGTTTCTGGTGGATTTGAGTATGGAAACACACAAAATTCATTCTTAGGAACAGTCAATGACACTATAAAATATAACGAAATTTCGTAGTTAACTATTGTTTCACATGTACGTACTTACAGATGGACTTAACATCAGACAAAGGTTGTTTAGGTACAGTAGCTGATGTGATGCCACAGAGAGTTTCTAGAGTTGGTGCTCCTGGTGTCCACTGAAATCTACAATTACTTGATAGATCCGTGTCGAAATCACAATGATAGAGCAATCTTTGAGAATCACAGATTGTTAATATTGAAAGATAAACTATAAATAAGTTAAATATTCACGTCAACGACTTTGATATCATTACATACCGAAAATATTAAACCACACTTGTTTCATTATCATATAGAAACCAAACAATATATATTTTTTCTTTTATTTTATTTAGATCTAAAACATACTAAATACAAAGAAGTAATGATGATAATGAAAATATAACGTCTATGTAACGAAATATTCTTTGATGACATTTCAGTTAGATATTTTCTTCTATGTACGATAACATAAAGAGTCAAATTAAATTATTCTATGTGCCATAATAACTTAATATGAAAAAAAAAGCAAAAACACTTTAGATGATATTATTTAATCGATAAAATCACGTTATTCAATGAAATATTTAACTTCTTGAAAGAAGATTATTTATATTAGTAAAAATTTTACTTTTTATTCAATGTATTTCCAGCATTTTGCTTTTGTATAAATTAAATAACTTTGTCTAAATATTTAATTTTTGTTTTATTAACTTAATATAAATACATAATTCTATTAAAATAATGAACGATAATTTTTTTACTGTTTAATTTTACATATCGTCTTAGACAAATATAATTTTATTTGAATGTACAGTTAAGATGATTGCAGGTACATAAAAAAAGCAAAAGTAGTTAAATATAAATTTTATTTTTTCAAAGATAAGAAAATTGTGCTACTTGCTTTTAATTACTATTTGGCAAAGCATTTATTACAAAAAGTATATGTGAAAAAAGAAACACATACCTGAAAATGATAAAGTTTTATATATGCTATTAGTAGCAATGCAAGGAGATAATGTAAATGATATTGTTAATAATATATCAGCAACTCGATTAATTTGGATGGATGTGTAAAAAAAAAGAAATAAAAACAAACATCATAAATACAAGTTACATATAAAAAAATTTATCATTTACAAGTACAATAACACATAGTAACATAAAGAGTAAGTACATATAGTTTCATTGATTTAAATAGATATCACTTAAGAGAAAAAATGATGAACAAGTTAAAAGATATCTAATATTTGTGAAATGTGGAGAATACAAAATCTAAGTGAATTTTTTTCTCATTCTTTTGTATATGATTTGATATAGCTTGACAAGTTAGTCACGAATATATAGCTCTTATTGTCATTCTGTCACTGTTTGGCTGAATAAAAGTCGCAAAAAAAACTTAAATGCTTGAATATATTGCATTCGCAACTGTCAATTCTTTTTTTCTTTTCATAGAAATTTTCGAATTTCAATTGCATTCTTGTTTTAAACGTGATGAAAATATTTTATTTCGATTCAGCATTAAAGTCTGAGTAGGAACATCTTTTTTGTTTAGAATTGCAATCAAAATTATAAACAAAAAAACGTGTCTAACATATATAGCTTCAGCATGCCTCATAGCACATATGTGGGAATTAACTGAACCATGGTTATCAAAATTGCTAAATATGAGCGTATTCTTTATTCTTTTATCTAAGTAGCTAACAACTTGACGATTTCAATAAGTTGAGATACTTACTTGTGTCACTTGTTACAGAAAAAAACTAGATAAGTTCGTAAAAATTCTCATAAATACGTTCTATAAGGTATGCTAGAGCTCTCTATATTGGACATAATTTTTGTTTGTATTATCAATTGTAAATTCAAATATAACATTTTCCTAGTCAAGTTATGATACTTAATGAAAATAAAAACGAGACTGAAATTTGCAAATTTCTATGAAAATAAGAGTTTGCCAACTTAACATGTATCGAAAGAGAACAAGTTTATCTACAGAATGGTTATTAATGATTCTAACATATTTATACTCCCTCTACATTTCTCTTGCAAAATGCAGGTCGCTGACTTTTATTGTTAAAGAAATATTAATAAAATTCATCAATGGTCTGTATATATCAGCAGTGATAGCAGTCGTGAGTATAAAGCATAATAATTATTTCGTTTTTGTTACCAGAAAAAATACAAGTTTTGTTAAGATAATCTTTAAAAAAGTTGAAATATTCACCTTTTTAATTATCAATGTACTTTATATCCTTCTCTGTTGATTAAGTAACATTCAATCAGAAATATTCAATTCTTTCTCTAGCATAGATTCAAAAATTAGCTTTTTCTTTCGTCTACAAAACCAAGTGATGGATGCACTTGATTTGTTTATTCTGTCCATTATTGCTATAATTGGTTTCTTGGGCTATGTAGAAGAGTCAAAAACTACACATTATTAAGACGAGATTACAACAGTAATAAAATAAATTCATAGAAAAAAATTGCTTATAAATATAAATAGTTGCATTCTAATTTATCCTTTCATATTGCTTAACAACAAATACTTAACCAGCAGAATTTCTTACACGACTGAAATTCATATTCTAGTGAATTTATTCGTGAACGGGAATTTCGTTTGATTTAAACTAACTTTGGAAACTTTGAAAAAGAGAAGGAACACGCGATCCATCCTCATTACCTATATAGAGTACATTGAATGTTTTATTTTTATTTGATATTGTGAAATCTTTCACTGTAACTAGAATAATAATAAATATCCTCATCATTCAAAGCATTACTGACATGATTGTGAAATACAATTGTTAACATAGATAATGAAAGTAATGGATTCAGAGTTATTGGCTACACAGGTTCTGCATATAAACATGAGAAATTCTCATAGGTTTTCATATGTTGGTTTTCTAGAAAATCTATTTTTCAGACAAAAAAAATTTTTTGCCATAACATTTTTTCGATCGATCCAGGTTATAGAGCATATTAAATTCCTCAGAATATAATAACCTATTCTATTTAAATCATTCTTTTTTGCAGAACGTATAGCCTTTTCAATTCATGCATCACATTCATATAATTGCTCTACTTAAAAATTATAGTTGAAGAACAGAAAAGATTATTGTCTCACACTGAGCTCGATATACTCTGTAATCTGAATGGACTACAAAAGATTTTGACATCATTTTTCTTACTCTTGAATACTGGTTTTCTAAATAACTAGCATATAAAGATCTAAGAGGATTTCTTCTGATCATAGTCGAAGATAGCATGATTGATTACTCTTAATTCAATAACTTTTGGTGACAAAGTGATTAATCAGATGAGAATGTTCCCTCATAAGCCTTCTGGAAAAATTTCGTCATTTTTTCTTCCACCTAAATGGTTTGCTACAAATTATGTTTGTTCTAAAATTTAATATTAAGTAGTAACGTGATATTGGTACACTGTTTTCAAAAATAATTTATCATATAAATTTATTCATCACAATTATCACAAGAATAAAAACAAAAAAAAAAGATAAGAATTGAAGTTAAATCAAACGACCGCAGATGCTTCAGTGTTTTTCTTTTTTTTAGTTCTAGCTGGTTTCAAAGGAATATCGGTAACAGCAGTAGTAGTGGTTTTAGCAGGTCTGATAACAGAATTCGCGTGTACTTTGTGTTTAGGTTTGCGTATTTTGAAATAATAAATAAAACCAACAAGAATACCGAGCACAAATGGAATACCAAGACCCAACGAGAGACCGAGAATTAAACCTAAATCTTGCTCAGCTAAATTAAAAAAGAGAATGGTGAAAAATGATATGAAACCACTTATTTATTTACTTGATGCAGTAATTGACGGTGTTGTTGTTGTTGTTGTTGTTGTTATTGTCGAAGTCGGTATCATAGTAGTTTCCTTCGATGGAGTTGTCGTCGAAACAGCCAATAAATAATTGACATCTAAATCAAAGTGGATTTACAATTTTATTGAAAACTCTTTTCTTCATTTCACTTACATGAACAATTATAATCATATATTTCTATATTATCTAATGCAAAATATATCGTTTGATTCAATATTGATTGTTCTGTTTCAGTTCCGTTATCAATACGAAAAGAAAAAGCTAACTAAAAATTCAACATTTTTATTTCTTAATGAATTTTTCTAAAAAAAAAATCATGTCTTACTGTATAATTAGAAAATGTTGAATTAAATGTGACATCTTGAAATTGCCATTTATTTTCTATTGTATCATTTCTTGTAAGAGTCTTAATTAAAAATGCATTGTCACTTTCATTATTAGGTCTTATCCACACTTGAATCTGCTGGCCCCAATCTTGTCCTTCATCAAAAGTAAAATAATAATAAAATCGAAGACATTGTTCTCCAATTGAATCTCTTAGAATAAGGTTAGTATTGATTGATTCATTGATTGTCTTCAATGGTTCTGATGAATTAAGTGATACTAGACCATATAAACCTATAAAAAACATTAAATTTTACAGGATATGAAACTTGCTTTATATAGAAAAGATGAAATTTTTCATGATAGATTTTCTTTAATTTTATTTCAACTATAAGCATTTAATTAAATTTGCAATATTTATAGCACTATAAAACTGTAACAAGAAATATCCAGTAAAAACTCGTTTAGAAAAGCAAAATTCCATTTTGTAATAAGAACACTTTTTTTTCAATAGTCAATCATCATGGAGAAAGTTTTACCTAATTGACATGTTGCTGTCTGTCCATTCTCTGTTTTACATTGATTATTATAACAAAAGTTCATATCCCATGTACTGATATTCATACTACCATTCAATGGTAATCGATAAGGTAGTTGGCATTTTTGATTGTTATTTGTTGGAAGGGCTGTAATAATCATCAATATATTTATGAAATTAGAGTTCAGAATGAATATGAAACTTACTAATAGATGTAACATCCGAAGTTGGTGCTTTAGGACGTTCTAAGTTATCAGAAGACCCATTAGGATTAAATTCATTACCACTAGTTCGTTTCAGTTGATCATTTTCAAAACATGGTGTGGAATCGAAATTACATTGAAATAGTGCAACGAAAGGACGTTCTGTAATTATAGTCGTAGATATCATCGCTGTTACACTTGACTAGAAATATAATTCTAGATTTGTAGATTAATCTTTCCTGAGTCTTTCGTAAAAATGTTTTTTTTTCTCGTTATTTTATGTTTCTAATGGCTGATAAACGTCATGTGTACATTTTTCATTCTTTAATGAATCACACGACTCAAGACATTTAAAATTCTAACAGTTACAGGTGGAATAATATAAATCACACTCATGTCAAGAACATATACGAAGTATATCGACTAACTATACCTCTTCATTTGTTTGTACTTCAAGTCCTGTGGTTGCGACACTTTCAACAGTCGAAGTTTCTGTTGCTGGTAACCATGGTGTAGTTGTAGCAGTAGTCGGAGCTGCAGTTATAGTTGTAGGTATAATTGCAGTTGTCATACTAAAAGTAAAGAACTGCTGAATATGCGATATATATATATATATATTTGGTAACTAATCATCGGAGCGGTACCAAGATCATACGAAAAAAACAACGAAGGACATTCTTCAATTTTTTTTTCAACTCAAAAGTTGACGCAATATAAAATTTTGTGTATGGTCTTCAAATTATTTAGTCTATTCCTTAGAAATCTTTTTACAGATAATCATATTCATTATGAACTTTTAAGAAGACCATAGATAAATATTATTTTCTATTTTAAAAAAATTTAATGTTTCTGTCAATGACAAAGACATTTTGTTTTATTTTAGTATATAATTATATACACATATACTATTCTCCTATCAACAGTGATGAAGCCAGAATTTTGGGCTATGGACGATTCAAAAGTCCGCATTTTACTGACCTCATTGTTTCTGCTGTTGATGAAAGTGCATCCTTTGTTTTAGAAAATAAACATAGTGTATTAATTAAACTGTATTAAAGGATACATACTGTGGTGAAATCAGTTTCTTGACTGTGAATATAATGGATGATGAGTAGTCCAGTAACGAAAATAATTACTACAATAATATAAACAACTCGAATAGTGAGTAATAATACAAGAAATTATATCATACCAAATTTAAACATCGTGTATGTTAGCGAGACAAATAAAATTGTAATGTCTTTTAAATAGCGATGTTCTACTCATCAACAAGTATATGAATATACGTTGCTAAGACAATAATCATGGTAATTATAAACATGATATATGACTTTTTGCTGACGAATATTTCATAAACAGAAAGAATAGGATCAAAACAGCCGTATCCATAACAGAAGCTATAAGATTCTATATCTTGATTCTATGTTTAATAAAACACGCATCCCATCACTATGTGTCGTCAGGACAACAATCAACATTAAAAATAATAAAATGCATGAATCGTAATGTACTACGGGAATTTTATATAGAGCGTAAGAGAACCAATAATGATGTCATTATGTAGGAAGAAGATAACATATGCGTTCTGTATTTATTTTAAATCAACGAGTAGCTAATGTTTTATCTTTGTTTCATTGTCTTTTCTGTTATCGAATAACAGAGATGTGGGCAAATGAATGTTAACTTGTCGAACAAGAGAAGAATAAATATATTATGACGATAATAGTCTGAATTTTGCTTTTTTCCAACTACTGACGTCAAAATCATTTATTGTTGATAGTAGACTTATCATAATTCTACTATGTTTATGATAACAACTAACTTGCATATAATGTATCAATATGTATCATATTCAAACTTTCATAGATAAATTTCACAATTGTTTCAAGTTTATTATTTCATGAACTGGTACTCACGAATCATTGGTGACTGTGATTTAAATATCAAAGATTTATTTTTTTTTAATTATGATCCGAAAATATATCGAAAGACTTTAATCTTTCTAAATTTCAATATGAAAGATCATTTTTATGTCGTAAGTGTACTGATATGATATTTCTCTCTCACATATATAATGATTTCAATAAACTGAAATTTATAAGAGAATATATTCAAACATTTCACATTGCTTTTATATTGATAAAATTTTTACATTTTTTATCGGTGTTCATAGAATAAAAATGACATTAGAAATATATTGTTCAATTCGAAAGAACAAACTGCATTAAAGTCTCTCTATCATTGAAAATCTTTGAATTTTTCAAAAGTATTCACTTTAGAGATGTGATGAATGTTTCAAAGATAATGTTGTTTTCGAAGAAGTTTCAAGGTAAGAGCTGGGAGTATATAGGTGAGACTGTTGAGTAGACGCAAGAAAAAATGAAACGGATAAACCATGGCCATTTTGATTGTCTTTGATCAATGAAATCTGTTGTTTCAGAGTCAACGCTCGTCGATTATACGTAATGGCCTCTTTCTTTTAATAATCTTAGCGAAATGGCACAAATATTTTAATGCACTAGCATATACACTCGTCTCATCTATTCAACACAAAGCAAGTGTTCTTTCTTTATGAACGATAAAAGCGTGAAATAAGATAATTGGCAACGCAATTAATTAAAATACTAATGAACGTCCCAAGAGAAATTACACTAAATCTCAGTGCATTTTTCTCTCTTTTCTTCAAACATAAAAAAAATATTTCCTGTTATGCCTGAAGACAGAGAATTGCAAACTCTATAAATCTGTTAACTTTTATTCTCAAACAACTTGGTCTAATCGGCGCAAAATTTAGAAGAATATCTACTTAGTCGTCCAACTGTGATAGTCAAAAAAAAACAATAAAACTGATGACCATTTTATTATATAAGGATTTCGACGAATTTTCAACTATCTCACGAAATTTCCTCTTAAAATTCTGCAACTCGAAATGCATTATCAGAAATTTTGAGGTAAAAAGAGAACGAAAGCATTAAAAAAGTCCTTTTTCTGCTCGACCTAGACCACCGTTGTTTTCTAATTCAAAACAACCTAAATATTTTCACAATTAATTTTAATCTTTCCACCATTTTCTTCAAAATTAAATTCTACATACGATAGCATAATAATAAATCTTTCGTAGAGCCAGTCTGCCTTTGAAAGCATAGTTTGCAAAAGTGGAATCAAAAATATCGAGTTGTTTATTTAAAGTAGTTTTTTCCGTGAACACCAGTTATCAACTATAATGAAGAAAGGCTTTACAAAACTCAATAAGTGTCAGTAGAGAATAGGAAATCGCAATTGAATGATGGGATAGACATAAATCTTCTCAATTTGACGGCAACAATGTTAAACTTGTTTGAAAAACGAAGTCGACAGTGTGAAGTTCTCTATCTTTTAATATACAAAGGTAAAATTTTGATACGTAGAGAATAAGAGCAAAAGACATTAAAATATAGTGCTATTTATTCTGGAACACGCGTTATTATTGGTTATTATATTTTTTTCAAACGTCGTGAATTATCAGATGTTTATAAAATAAGAACTATTGATATTTTGATGCCTATTGAGCTCGTTTTAGACAGTCATAATAGGTATATTCTTTTCGTAATAATAATGAACATCGCCCTCTGGAAGTGAATTGTAAACTTGCTTGGTCAAAATTAGAACTCCGATCAAGGATGTCAATGCGGATGCGACCACACCCTATTTGGCTAGTACGTCAGTTATTTTCCGATCTGTATGACTAGTCAAAAATCGCGCATGTAACATTACTCTATGTGGTCTATAATCAATTGATTTTGCATAAGTAGAGTATTTTCGATGGTGGTTTATCATCGTATTCACTATGTTCTAAATCATTAATATAAGATTGTGCATGTCTTGGAAATGTACAATATGAATGATTATTCGTACACATAATTCAACTAAAATATGACACATTGTCTTCATTGGATATATCCACTAACATCAAATAAGGTGCATACAGATGCTTAAGAGCAAAGATTAAATTATATTTTGGAAAAAAGTTGAGGATGTGAATGTGGCAACGAACAAAGAGAACACCCACACCCTAAGATCGTTAGTAACGATCAGATTGGGTGCTATCCAACACTGAATAACAGGCAGATCAAATTCATTTTGAATAAAATGCTTCATAGGGTCTATGTGAAACGCATCGACATCCAAGGATTTATTCTCCATTAATTAAGGTGTGGGTGTTAGGGTGAAGTATGGGTGTGGCTTTGGCTGTGGGTACAGGTTAAGAAAAGACCCCCCTCACCCCACACACCCTATATAAGAAATATTCAAAATTAGATAATGTAAAAAAATACTTATTTATTTTAGAAACTGGAAACAGATACAACGCAAGGCCAAATAACTTTTCAGGACGTTAATGATGCTAGTAAAATGATCCATAGTAGTGATGCTGTTCAACATATTTAGGGCCATAAGTGATAATATCTTCAATCGGTAAGTTTCATTAATTTTTTTCAACAAAAAATGTACGATTAAATGGAGATGCCATCTAATATCATGATGAAAATAGTGTCGTGCGCAAGGACGACTTTTCGCAACTATACCCAGGCCGGGTGTGAGATTAGCATGGATTTTCTCTTCATAGAAACATTACACTTACCCCACACCCTAGATAACCTATCTCTTTGTTCTCTTTCCACTGCTAAAAACCGCAAGCCTCTAGCTTTTGTCAAATAAGAGTTATTAAACTTTCTTTCGTTTGCATTGCACTTGAAAATGAAGAATTGTCATTTCGTTACTGTAACCAGTGATTAATGTGAGTTACTTATCATGAAGGAAGTAACTAAAAGAAAAGAAAATGTGACAGTCCTAATCCAAATGATATCGCTTGGTTATTTTATTGAATCGAACTAGAATAATCAACATATGTCAGAGCTATATATGGAGAAAAAGTATTTTAAAGTAGTGATCTAGCGCAAGTCTCTATATGTCCAAGTAGTTTATGCCAGTGCCAGAACCTTTTGCCATGATGCACGTGAAGTGATTCGATTCCACCAATCTTTGACATGTGGTCGTGATTCGAAGAAGTGGCCTTCTTTAAGTCCAACTAGACGATTTCCATAGGATAAATGGAACAAGTCAGCCAAAGTGAAGTTCTATTGGCATAGAAAAAGATAGAAGTAAAGTATCAAAATATATAACAAATAGTTTCAACATAGTTTTCACTCAGGAATGCGCTGTTTCCTACGAAATCGATAATCTATTCCTTCATACACAAGAAGAGTTCGCAGAAATAACGGGCTATTTCCAAGACATTTAACAAAAAAAAATGAATTAATTATCGTACGGTTCCTGTTTTATTATAGGGAGAAAAAGAATGAGTTACGTACTTGCCCAGCCAAGTAGGGCTGCTTTGAGAGAATCTTCTCGTAAACGTCCAATTTGGCATTCAGTTGCTCTCTGTACCCTGCAATTTTGGCCTCATCTGGATCACCAAGGCCCTTCATACTATTAAAAATACGAGATTTCATGTGAACCAAAATGAAAGTCAGGGAAGTCAAGAGATCCTACCCTTTGAAGACACGCTCGAAGACAATGCCACTGACGTACGGA